AATGCAAACATAGGCTTCAGTCGAGGGGGACGGCCATATAATGCCCTGCAACACAATAATTTACAGTAAAGTTTCTGTGGGTTGGGAACTCGTTCGACTGGAATACAGAAATTCCTCAAAATATTGGAATACGTAATAGGAGTACTTAAAAGATGATTCTAAATATCAGTTTTGCTTTTTAAGCGGAAACGAATAATGAAATGAGTTCCCATTTTAGGGTCATTGTTGTCATTATAAAAAAACTCCGTCAAATACCGTGACAATCGCCTTATGTTTTCGCCCTCTGTTGTGCTCACATACGCTCTGTTCCAGAAACTGAACAACAACGGTGCAAAAACTACTAAGGTTATTGTCGGCCAAAAAGACTGGCCGACCTTATGTAGGCCTTGGGCTACATTTGGATCTATTTCTTGAAAATGTAACTTGTTCCTGTTGTGGTGCAAAATGTAGTATACCTAATGTATGTGATTTCTGTTTCGGTTTCAATCTCAAATGGGATGTTGCTTTTCCACGATTTCCTGGCAATTGAAGTTGAAGTGAAGTTCTTCAAGTTTGTACCATAGCAGAATTAAGAAGATGACGTCATGCAATCACATGTTTCCTTTTTTTATACCCTCACCCATATGGCTAGAGACGGTATATATCATTTGATACACATCCGTGAAGCTCATAAAACGCGAAATTTACATCAGACTCCATTCAGACTTGGCACATCACAATACTTCTATCAACACAAGATCTTTTTTTAAAGATATTAAAGATCGGACCATTGCTTCTGGTACCTTCCACACAACGGGTTCAAAATTTGAAAAACAAAACGCTCAAAGAAACTGAAATAAGCATTCAACTCTCTTCAAATTCCACACATACAAATATGTTTGCTATCACAAGACCTGTTGTGAGGATGATATATACCTGCGAACCCCTGCTGGTGCCTCACCCACAAAAGGTTACAATTTTCAATACTTTTATCTGTCATAACTTGTGATACAAGTCAGCGATTCTTTACAACTTGCTATACCTAAATTCAACTTCGGATATAAACATGGAATTTATGATTTCGCAAAAAAATTGGATATAAATGTTCGATTTTCTTGTAATTTTTCCCACACCAATATTTTTATCTGTATTATAAGATGAAGCATGAACTTTTAGTACTTCGGCCGACCTTTGTCACACATCTCATATAAAGTGAAGGAAGTAACCAATATAGTCCAAACCTGGCACGTCGCAATATTTATATCATATTTATTTAGGTCCGATACGAAATGGACAATATTGGCCCATTCCTTCGGAACCTACTCCATAGAGGGTCAACAGTTTGAATAATCATAGCAGAAGTCCAAATATATTTAAATAATCGAACATTCGGGTAAACATCCGTCGCAAAACCGACTGATACTTTTTAACTTGTCTAATCGTACGTTTGTCAAAATGTATTCGTTGAAGTGATTTTATTGTACCACCGTTTGTATCTACAGCTGCCCACTTTACACTCAGACAAAGACATAGACATAGAAGTCTTTATGTAGTGGCACCAGGGGGACTTACCTCTGTTGTTATGATGTCATACCCACATACTTAAGTTAAGTGATATTAACAACGAATGCAATACATCAACCAATTGGAAACGTCAGCGGAATACACGTTTAAGCCCAAAGTTTTGACTAACTGGACATGCTGTTCGTAATGATGCTCTGTCTGTGGTGGGCTTTTATTCTAACGTGGCTCTGTTGAGAGCAGCGCGCATCTCCTTATATATTTTTCATATGAACTATTCCATTCCACAATGCATTTTATATTTTTATATTATTTCGGAGGAGGTCTGCCAGTTATGCTATCGAATTGATATGAAGCGGATAACAGGTGTCAACAATCGTTACTTGGGTAAAAAATCATTAGAAAATGATAGATGAGTTGCAAATGCACAGAGGATTGTCATTGCAAATAAGACTACCTCCTACCTCCTATGCCATGTCATATTCAAGAATTCTTTTTTTCTGCCCACTGGATGTATCGTTCATAGAGATGTTGGCATATGCGGGGTTTGAAGAAAACACATTATTCCAGTTATGATCAATCGCATCCCTAACCGGTGGCGCATATTGCGAAGGCTAGTCCCGGAATGTAAGTCCACCCGATGCGCCCAGTCTCGAATCTAACAAACTAACTTTACTGCGTTTGTGCCCAATTGGATTCACGGCTGTCCGATGGTTGTGCAAGTGACGTATTTGGATGTAAATGTGGCTAATGTTGCCGCGCATAACGGGTGACGGGCGTTGGCATGGGTGACGGCATGGCCGTTGGCTATTTCTAGCCATTGAGAGCCCATTCAATTTAAATGCACGGAAATAGTGGTTCTTCTGCTTCACTGAGTTGTCTTCCGCTCTCTTTTGTGGGATTTAAGGTTCGCCATTGTTATCTCGGCGATTCTATATATAACACTTGCAATGACTTTGTAATAACCATGGCAACTGCTCGCGGACACCCAGTGTTGGCACGTTCGCTGAGTGGTTCCACTTATAGTCGACACTGTGTGCATTGAAAGACACAATCGCACACACACACATACCCACGTGACATGTGAGGACACAACTTGCCGAACTGTGCCTCTACAACGTATACCAAGGAACAGCCAATCTACAAAGTCATATCGTTCATACGGGTGCCGTTGCCGTTGCCAGCGCCAAAATTTACGACACCAACAAGGCCAGCAAGGACAAACAATTGCAGCCACATCGTTGCATTGTCAGTAGCTAACTCGAGCCAACTCATCTCCTTGCGCGTGCATTGTGACATTCTCTCTCACATGAGAATAGGTGTGTCGGACAACCCAATCATTGTTACAAAATGTTGTTTGATAACCAAAATGCCGCAAAATGCGAGCGGACGAACGAAGAGAGCGATTTTGACAGTAACATACCACCAGGTGTGCCTGCGAACTTTTCCAGTAAGATTTTCTCAGTAACCTCTTGCAGGAGAGCGAGCCCTCTCAAACGAAAGTATGACAAAAACAAACATTAAAAATTAAACCAATATTTTAATGTCATTTTCAAATTCGCATTAAAAAAACAAAAAAAAAAAAAACAGCTGGACTTGTTTCTCCCATTCATTCCGGCAACTGTCGGTAACTTGAAAAAAAAAATCCTATCTATCAAAACAACAAATTGCATTTTAAGTGGAGCATAGTCTTCTGATGAAATTTATTACAAGATGACAATTTGCAAACCCTCAGCAGCTCAACTGTCAACGTCACTCTCTTCCCAGCATTCAATTTACTGGGTTATCGTAAACAACTGTTTCGGATTTGAGTACAATCGGTCCATCCCAAGACGAACGTTGTGAGGATATTCTTTTATGGAAGCCTTGTTTGCAATCATTTTAACCAGGGCGAGGAGGACAATATTGACAATAATGGACAACCCTGTCTGCTACTTTGCCTGGAAAGTATGGGAAAGAAAGACCAGGAAAGAAGTCAAAATTATTTGGAAATCGTTCAAAATCAACATTTCAACCATTCAGAAGCTGGCAAAGGCCAAATGTACCTAGTAAAAAATTGTTAAATTTATTCACATAACTCTTATGTCGGAATATGTTTAAATATATTCACAATATTTTCATACCCTCCACCATAGCATGGATTTAGCCATGTCCGTCCGTCTGTCTGTCCGTCTAGCTTTCGAACGAAATGAGATCGGTTGATAAAATTTGCCTGAGATGTTTTTAGGTCTGTAGAGTTTTTATACCTCAGCTCAAAACGTGCTTCATCGAAATAACGGTTTTAGACGCCAGGTGTCTCTGGATCTATTCCATTTCATGACATTTGGAGTCGATCTAGAGATATCCGTCCGTCGGCCTGTCTGTCTGTCTGTCTCGAAGAAAGTATCCGATTTGGTTCAAATATGACCGTAATTGTAATATTATTGTCAAACTTAGGTCGAGTTCGGATATGGACGATATCGGCCTCTTTCCTTCTGGTACGTCCCTCACAAAAGGTCAACATTTTCACAGAAAATAATTTACCTAATACAACGAGAAAGGAACGTCCAATTGTTGTTCAAACTTTGGAAATCTCAATGTTTTTGTCAGTGCTAGATCAGGTGCGAAAATGGACAATATCGGTCACCCCATCAAGTGCCTCCCCCACATATGGTGTCAAAATGATGAATAACCAAAACGATTATAAAATGCAAAATAAGCATCCGAATAATTCTAAGCTTCACACATTTCAATGTTTCAAATAACACAAGATCTGGTGGAAAATATGGAACATATCGGTACCTTCCACACAAGGGGTCAATATTTTGAATAAAGGTATCTCTCATAACTTGCGAAACAAGTCCACGATTCTCTTTAAGCTTGGTTGGCCTAAATATTTCTCTCTATATGATGTCATTTTAATATGGAAATAATTGGCCCTCTTCTAGTACCTCCCTCACAAGGGGTCAACATTTTGAATAATTATAACCTTTATAACATGCGAAACAAGTCTGCGATTTTCATCAAACTTCGTGCATCTCAGCATTTCTCCTAACTATAGATCTAACAGATATTTCGGCCCACTCCTTTTAGAATTGTAAATGAGTTTTCGATTTTCTGCAACGTTTTCACATCCGAATATTTGTATCAGAATTAGATGAAGTGGACTACTTCGGTCCACTCTATCTGGTACATCATTCTCATCTCCCAAATCTGGCAACTTGTAATACTTATATCAGATTTAGGTTGGACAGGAAATGGACAAGCTTCCCCCCAAACGATCAAAAACTTGAACGATCATAACCCAGGTCAAACATGCATTGAAAATGGTCCACGTTATGCATGGTATGCAAAACAACCCCCCGGTTATTCGCTTTCTTTTTTTGAATTTGTGTCACATTTTCCAAAGGGATTGTGTCAAATTTGATCCGCGTCTTCGGATAGGCCTTCACATATTAGTACCGGCCGATGTTTAGTATTTTTAAGAATTGACGCCCTATTTTCTGTTCTTGTCTTTGCAGTTTACAAATGCCGGTGCCGACGAGGAGCTACAGCGTAATGTTCTAATAACATTTGGCAAACTGAAGCTGTGAAAGACACAAAGACTCGGTTTCATCGATGTTCTAAGACAAGACCGGACCAGTCGAAACCTATTGTGATATTTTGATTTTCGTTCATGCCGCCCTTGTCCAGGGTATACTAAGTATAGAAGTACGTTGGGGCTTCAGATCTGAATTTAATTAATTTTTCTTCTGTTTTTTTTTTTTTAACATTTTGGTTCTTTATATATTCTGTTTTATTTTAATGTGTTATTATTTATTTATTGTTTTTGTTTTTGTTTTTTTTTTTTTGTATTTTTGGTTGGGAATTGTTTAAGGCAACAAAAAAAGAATAAAAGACATTTTGAATATCAACAACAGACAGCAAGATCTGCAACTGAGCTGAGCGATTCGTTGGGTAACTAGTTAGTACTGCTTGGGTCGGCAGCTAGTTGGGAATTCAATGCAGTCGCCATGTCACATGGGGGCGGCCAGGAATGTTTGTAATATTTCCAGCTGAAGAACTCATCTTGATGACATACGGTGCTGCTATACCTCGTATTAGTCCACGACCGACACTCGATTGCCTCCGTGAGCCACAAGTTCCCATTGTAATACCTGCCCGAAGTTTACCGCCATCGTCGCCGCAATTGACACAAACAACGAAGTTGCTGGCTCAGTCCGAACCAGTTGATCCAAAATTCCCAAGTGCACTTCCCTCCACAAGTATCCCAGCCCCAGCACCTGACAGTCAGTTCAGTTTTTACGACCAACGTGGATCTGCGGATCAAGGTGTAAGCGGTGAGCTTCCACTCGTGACGGGGGGACCCACAATTTCCCCACGCTATCCGTATCCCGGACAAACACCACTCTCACACCACATTGGTGATCAAAGTATTGCATCGGTGCACTTGCCCCCACCAACGCCACAATCGTCAGTCACACTTGCACGTCGAAATTCTCGATCTTCGTTGAAACGATCCACCCCCGTGCATCGCACCCCTATCGGCCTGCGTAAAATTGAAGAGGAACCGGCGATTACAATACCCTCAGCGGCTCCCTTCCACATACCTATGTATAATGATCTAAACATGCGCTCCTCACAGCAGTCGCAGCAACAACTACAGAGCACAACCGTGCCCCCTCTCCAAGGTAGTGCCTTGGAATTCGAGTACCCCACGGGGTCATTACAGCGTGATCGCAGTCCCAGCATATTTCTGGAGCCGTCCACGCCAGACCCCACGCAACCGCGTTTGGGTCCCGGATGGGGTCGTCCCATGTCACCCATGGAACTGCCTCCCAAACCATCTACCTCGCAAAAGTCTCCATCCAGTAAGTCACGTCTAAGACCAAAGCTGCACATACCCTTGGGTCGCTTGGGCCGTTCCACATCCAGTGATCAAAGAGAGTCCTATCGACTGCGAGAAGACTTGGAACTACAGGTGGAGAACCCGGTGTTTAATACAGAAAATTTGAGACAGCGTAATTTTGATGCCTTCTTCGATTCGGGTGAGCCGGTGTACAAACTCCAGCCCAAAAGTCCTCAATCTGCAACGAACGAATCGTCATCGTCCGGAGGCAAAGTGTCTCCTGCACTCGACAACTATGCTGGCGTGTATGACTCCTCACCACGCCGGGGACGAACTACGCCCTCGGGTGGCCTCTTCGCCCGCTCGCACAAGGAGGAGGCAACACGTTCCCAGACTTCCGACCACCACGAGTCCACGCGCGATGTGCGCTCCGCTTCGTTGGGTCCCGGATCTGTTAGTGTGGCAAGTGGTGGTAGTACAAGCGGTGTTCCCCAGAAAGGTGACAGGTGCCCCCAAAATAATTCTTACCAAGTTCTAATCAAACCGTTTACAATTCGAATATAGCTTAATAAAAACAGTGTTTTTAAAACAAGCAAGCTAAAGTGTCCCACCGCCCTCCACTTTGTTTTAAGAGGAGGGGGGTGGAGAGCAACCAGTGCATTTAATGTCTTCTAACCAATGAGTATAAAATGCCGGCTAACATTCAGTGTTGCAATTCGTTACGTCTGTGGAATGCTGTGAAATGCTTATGATCTGCTGTGTTGTTGTTACTAAGCGATGGTTCTACTCGTTTCTATCAAAGTTCGTTCCCATATCATGCATGCACCTCCGCCCCCCCCAGGGCCATTTGAGGTTGTTGGTCCTTCATCAGCTAAAAGTCTTCTTAACAACGTTTGAGGATATCTTGTTGTGTTGTTGTTTTGTTTGGTTAAATGCATATTCCTTCTTATATTGTTAGTGTTATTATTATAATTATTATTTTTGTAATTATTATTATTATAATAATAATTATTATTTATTGCTATTATTATTATTAGTATTAATATTATCTTATTATTATAATTATTATTGTTATTATTATCTGCTTATTATTATAACTATTTTGTTTTGTAATAATTATTATTCTTTTTATTATTATTATTATTATTATTATTATTATTATTATTATTATTATTATTATTATTATTATTATTATTATTATTATTATTATTATTATTATTATTATTATTATTATTATTATTATTATTATTATAATTATTATACTTTTTACCATTCTTATTATTATTGTTATTATTATTTTCTTATTAATATATTTAGTATTCTTTTTATTAATATTATTATAATTATTATTGTTATTATTAGTATTACTATTATCTTATTATTATTTTCTTATTATTATAATTATTATTGTTATAAATATTATTATTATTATTATTATTGTTATTATTATTTTTATTATTATTGTTATTACAATTATTATTGTTAATATTATTATTGTTATTATTATTTTTATTATTATTGTTATTGTTATTACAATTATTATTATTGTTATTGTTATTATTATTTTTATTATTATTATTATTATTATTATTATTATTATTATTATTATTATTATTATTATTATTATTATTATTATTATATTTGCCAGTATTATTTTTGGACATTGCCTGCCACATGCTTTTGGTTTTATGTTCGTTTTGTTTGTTTTTTTTTTCACGTTTTGCGTTCTTTCTTTCCCTTTCTGGTGACCCTGTTTTAATTCAATTTCGAATTATATTTAGATTTCTTGGGAAAATCTTCAAGTGGTCCAAAAAGTCGTAACTTATTTGGGTGGAGGGGACGTGTTTCCCCTAGCCCCAAGCCTAGTATGGCGTCCCATACTGGTGTGCTTAAGGATTACGGTCATAGTAGTTTAAACGAGGCTTTCAAATCCCAAAACAATGTCAACTTTAAATTGATTAAAACTGGTAAGTCCGACGAAGTTCCCACATTTAAAAGCGTCTTGTTTGGGTGCCCCCGGCGCATTCTTTTAACTGGACCATCTTAGGAAACCCGCAAAACTTTCGAACAACATCTTCAGTTCCATGACAGCATGTGTTCCAACATAGCTGTACAACATATTAGTCACTCCAGGATTCTGTAACGAAAAATCTCCGTTTTCATAGGAATTTGACTGAAGGTTTTGGTGTGCGTAACTGATGAAGCAAAGAAGCGCCCTCTGCACATATAATCATGCTAGGTGGTAATATTGGTCTACGTTTAGTTATAGCCCCTAATAACTGTACCTCCCTATATTCGGAATTGTTTCAAATTTCGTATTTGCAGTTCGTAACGGGTACGGGTAATTACATTCGGTATTTTTAAGATTTTAACAGAGTTTTTAACTGATTCATTTTTTAAACCTTTCAATTTCGTTCCAAATGGTGGAGGGTGTTTAAAGTTCGACCCGGCCGAACTTACTTCTTTTTAACTTGTTAGTACATATTTTTGATATTTTGGATTTTTCGTCCACCGAATCGGTAACAATTTCTAAATAAAAATAAACATATCCTTTAAATTTTGTACTGGTTCACCTTGCCGCATATCGCACCGATTCAAGGTATTTTAAAGCTTTCAAAAGCAATTCCGAGGATATAAATTCTTTTGTCGCAAAATTTGCAAAAAAAAACACAATGTGCTTTATTCCCGATAAAACAGTATCCCTGGATATCCTGTATTTCGCATTATTTGATCGGGTGAAAGTTTGCTATACGGAAGCAGTCAAGGTAAAGGTGTCGATATAAACTCTATATAGCTAAATCGTTTATTTCAGTTTGAATGTCTTACATCCCATTCGGTCACAAAATTTGCCGAATGAAAACATATTTTGGTTTTTGGAGTAAATGTTTTTTTTTTCTGTCAGTGATAGACACACAAAACAAACGATAGGGGAGGGACCTAACGTTTCGAATAGAAATTGTGGTTTGTTACAGAATCACGCCAAAATTGCATGTCTTTGATTTGAACTATACATATGAGTCGTTTTAGGACATCAAAATTTTGTTGCGAATCCTACAGGATCACTATACTTCGAATGCTCTCTCGATGTTTTTCAGTTTTGTTTTATAAATGTTAAACCTGTGGGGGTTGCCACAAGCATCACAATTCCAAATGAGAGAGAATCAAAAAAAAAAAAAAATCAAAATAATGGTTATGGAAATACTGAAGTATCGATATATGCACGTTTGAATACGAACGATGCGAGTGAAGGTATTTTTTTAAACAAAAACAGACGGCTGGACGCTTCATCCAACTGAAGTGACTACAAATTCATATCCGCAATGTAGGTCCAGGTGGAATATGGAATACTTGATCCCATTTCTAGTCACAACCATTCCGGATTAAAGTCACAATTACATTGATTGATCGAAGAAACATCCACGTAGTCACCTGTGTGTGACAGAACTCAATGATTTCTTAGTTGAAAATGTGTTGGGAAAGGCAAGAAGTGAGTGTGATTCTTCGCCGGGATGAAATCATGATTTTGGTAGCGATCAGCAAATATTGCCAAGTTATATATTTCGGTCCACGTTTTCCTCCAGCGCCCTGAGGAAGGTAGCTTCCGATACTCGCCATTTTGATGATTGTAGCTACTTTTCTACCGAACCTGTTTTGTCTGGCATTTGAAGTTTTCAATCTAACGGCACCCCCCGATATTTGGTGTACGGAGTAATTTCTTTGCAATGGATCCGCAATTGTAGCCATAGGCTTTCACCACACTTTTTTGGAATTCTTAATAAACTATTTGTCAATACTGCAATGCAATCTATCGGGGATAATTTTGTCAACAAATTTCATTACCAATTCATATTTTGTTGCTTTTCGGAAACAATATGTCACGTTCGAATGCCAAGTCTTAACAGAACGGGTTGCTTTCCTAATGGTGGTGGCTATGAAAAGTTCGACCCCACCCTGACTGTTCCCTGCGGTTGGTTGTTTCAAAAAACCTGTCGGGTGTCCAAAATGGAGCTAAAAGAATGCGCCAGGAATCCAAAATCGTATTTACACGTTCGCCTCTTAGCCATTATTGCGTTCATTTCTTTTGTATTTTCAGTTTCCGATTTCACCGAAACCCTTTCCCAGTTGTACGAGGAACATGCAACTGCCCTACAAACCCTTGTCACCAACTATCGTATAAAGAATGCTGAACTTAGGAAAGAGAGGTGAGTCATCCTGGTCCCAGTGAATTATGGCAAAATGTCGTCTATGGCTTTTCTCTTTTCATTGCAGGCCCGCCTGTCATTTGTCAATTTTCCAAGCTTGGGAAACATTCCTACAGGAGGTTGAGACAGACTCCCAAGCATCCAACGATGTTGCGAATGTCCTGTATCGCCAGGTAAGTCCTTGTGATGGATTATTCGCGGACAAGCTGCGCATAATGCGACAGATATATTTTTCTAAAGCAAAGATAATTGCAGTGTTTGTCTGTCTGAAATTGTTCGTTAACCCTAAGAAATGACATAGATGCCGTTGCGAGTTGGGAGTCAATTTAGTACTGTACCGTGGTATCATGGTAGAAGAATACAGGTAGGCGCATCGATACCGCTGCTGGTACAATGAACTGTCAAACCAATTTTGGAACGAAAAATTATTAAAATTTGTAAAAATTGTGAAAAAGCGCCTGTTATATCCGATTGACGTCGTATAAGAAAACGTATTAAATCTACTTATATTTAAAAAAAAATACGCTCCCAAGCGTTGATGCATCTACCTGTATTCCTCTACCATGAGTAGAATATATAATACATGTCACAATTACAGGGCAACAAAACTTTAACGGGCAACCAAATGTATAATTTTGGGATAGAATATTATTGTCTCCCTGTCTTGGATTCAATTGTGTAAAAAAATCCATTACTTTAGTGATGTTTTGCGGATATTTCCCGATGTAGTAAATGTGTAATAATAAATTTAACAAATTTTTGATTTGATTTTAATCAAATGATTTGTTTTACTCACTTTCGAATTGAGCTAGAATGAACACACGCACAACATTTCAATATTATTTTGACAATAGTTCGACCCAGACAGAAAAGTAGAAGGCAAAAGGCAGCGATTTGCAGCTGACCAAACTACATTCATCTTGTACGTGCATTTGCTTCCGACATTCTCAGGTAGGGGGACAATTGGACTGCAGACATATGAAGATAGGAAATCTTAATTGAAGGTCCCTTTATTGTATTTATAATACCCACCAGTAGTGGAATTCTCTAGCACATTGTTTGAGTTTCCGACAAAAATCGGTAAGATTAAAATTTGTCGGTATGTTAGCGACGAAATCAATGTAGTCGGTAAGACCTACCGATAGATACTAATGTTTTCAACTATAACTTCTTTTTCATATCATAACTCATGTCGGTACCTCAAAAAATGAGTTAGAGAATCTCGCTACAGGTATGCGAATGTGTGTGTGTGTGTGAGTTTATTGAAAATATTTACATCCTTAATTGCCTTTTGGTGTTTTCCTTTTCTCTCTACATTGACAGGTGTCACGACCAATGCTCGACAAATCCTTTCATCGCAAAGTTCAAAGCCGGAAAATTTTCACACACAGGGAGTCCTTTGAAACCATTATAGCCAAGACTGAAGAGAAATTGTCAAAGGTAAGAAACCCAGAACCGCTACACAACCACCCCACTCCCCGGTCAGGGTTTGCGATGCGAAGTGTTCACCGATACAGCGATGTATGTGCGTTTGTTGTCACGACTTGCATTACTATATACCATGGCACAGTAAGGAGGTAGAACAGCTTCGTAAAACTACAGAAATGCAGCCCTGGAAATGATTTAAAAAAACAAAAGATAAATGTACAGCCATAATTTTCTTTCAAAATCATGATCCGAACTGTTCAATATTGCAATTCCATGGCAAAACTGGTTAATAGTGCGTAGTTCGCTCCCGCCATGTACGCTCTTTCTAGCCACGGATTTGGAAGTTTGTCAGAAGAAAATGTAAGCAGCTGGTAGTTGTTCCTTATCTTTGTATTGTACCATGCGATATACTGTGTGATTCGTTCGACCCTTAGTTCGCGTTCAACCCTTAACTATTAAATATCTACTTGGTTCCTCGCACAAAACAACAATTATTGTCCTTTGTTCCATTCAAATCACTCGCAGAGCTACGATGAGATATGTGTCATCCATGAAAAAGGCAGTGATTAGTGAATTTGTTTTTCGATAAAAAAAAAATAATTTTGACAAGTGTTTTTGCAGTTTTTGGGAAAAATGGAAAATACAAAAATATATTTCAAATATCAACATAGGCTCTGTTCCAGAACTGCAAGAATGTAATTTTTGCTTTTTTTAGCGCAATATATATATATGGCAGTCATGCTACAAGTTCGCAATAGGCCAAATTTGACCAAAACGGTTTAGGAAAAGACAATGTCATGGTCGTTGGCGTTCTTTTAATCCACCAATGATGGCGAAGATAAATGTCGTAGATTACTGCACCTTGTGGAACAGAGCCGTGTTGATTTTCACATTCTTCAATTTTATCGTCATTTGGGAGATGGGCTTGAAAGAACGAGAAAAGATGTTGAAATTCCGTGGAAACCCTTCCGTTGCAATTTACTTTCCCAATCTGCGTCCCAAAACTCACATCAAATCTAATCTTGGTTTTCTCACTCACCTTGTATTTGACCCCATTCCTCTTTATCCACAGTGTCGCCTGGACTACAAGCAATGCTATGTGGCGCATCGCCAAAACGCCATCCCACAATCGCTCACAGAATACATAGATGCTCACAATGCGTACGTGCAACAATTGCATGCCACCAATGCCATGCTCGAGACGTACCAGTGCGAAACCGTGCCGCAGTTGATGCAGGAACTGGAGGACATTCACAATGACTTATGCAGTATTATAGCCGACTCGCTGCAGCAGGGAGCTGATGTTATGGCCAACAAGGTGAGTAAGCCAGTGCTTGTTTCCGCATGCTGTGCGCCGTTTCGGGCACAAAATGTGATGTGCACGTGTGTGTGTGTGTTTGCCTTATTGTCCAGTAGAGGGTATCATCAATACTGTCACTGTCACTGCAGTGGGATTTGTTTCTTGGCAATTTATGATCGTTCATGTTTTAAGTAAGAGAACACCATCCACTAGCCAAGGATGGCATAGCTTTCGCTTCGATGTGTTCGCCTGGAATATTCCAGGCTGTAATACTCCATGCTCTTTGCGTCGCTAAAACGAAGCATACGCCATTTGCAACCCATTTCCGGGTCTAGATCTATGGCTATCAAACAGTTGGATGCTTCCATGCATTCTACGTTTATCCAGCCGCAATACCGTAAAAGAAATCAGGTAAACATTTCTATTTTATTTTAGGCTTCCGATCAGGCGAGACGTTACTCCACTTTATCCAGCCAATGCGCGAATGTGTCTCCTGTTCAGGATTTGGTCAATTTTGTGCGCATTCTCCCGCCTCTGCCAGCAGTTGCACAAAAAGTCCAAAGGCGAGCCTTTGCGCCTCCAGGACCGGTAGATCAGGAAGACACTGCAGACCATAGTGTAAGTATATTCCAAGTTAACAGAAACAATGAGAATCGCTCGGTCGAACCAATGTGTTGCGTCCCATTTTGTTGGATGGTAGATTCCAGCTCATGCTGGAACACGGCCAATGCCAAAACGTTAACTCTCCTCTTATTATTTTATGTCGTTGCGATACCGACGAGACGATAGAATTTCGTCACCGAAAGTAAGCGTCGTGATACAAGAATAGTGGTAACCGCATCAATTGAAGATTTTACAGATTTTTATACCCTCCACCATTCTATGGAGGGTATATTAACTTTGCCATTCCGTTTGTAACTCCCCTACAAAGTATATATATTCTGGATCAGCGTAATATTCTAAGACGGTCTAGCGATGTCCGTTTGTCTGCCTGTCTGTTGTAATCACGCTATCTTTCGAACGAAATGAGATAGTAGGCTACAATTTTGCATACATGCATAGTTTTCCAGTAGGCAGGTTAAGTTCGTAAATGGACCGTGTCGGTCCACGTTTTCGCATATCCCCCCATATAAAGGAACCTCCTAATATTCGATATTTTGATGATTTCAGCAACATTATTCATTTAAAGTTTGTAATGAGTACTACAGCCTATGATAAAAAATTTTGTATGCAGGTCCAAGTTCTCGTATAGCCCCCATATAATGGTACGTCCCGATATTCGGTATTTTGATGATTTCAGCAACATTGTCCACCGGAATCGTTTTAAATTTCGTACTGGAAGATCCTAATGGGTACTACAACCTAAGACAGAAACTTATCCGTGCAGGTCCACGTCTTCGGTACCACCTTTTTTCATCATTTTTGCGACATTATTTACCGTAATTGTAACACATTTCGTATTTGAAGTTCGTAATGGGCACTACAGCCTATGATAAAATATTTCATTTAAGTGGTAGATTTCGAATTTTTTGGAAATTTTTCGATTTCCGAACTTTGCTTCTTTTTTACTTGTTTTTCTAATATTTTCTCACAAGTCCTGATGCATCTACTTGTATTCTTCTGTCAAGGAGAGTGTGCGGCTTTGTGTGTCCAAATAAATGTATCCGAAGATATTTGAGTGGGCTTTGTTTCTGGAACTTAATTCCTTTTGAATACGTGAATTGTTCTGTTTCTATCCGAGTTGACTTATTTATTTGCGACTCTCCTTTCGTCAAGGATGTGGCTCCCATACTACGCAACGAGTTGGTTTTTGATCGTCATTCCTCGGTGTCACTTCGAGCAGCACTGGACTCTTTAAAACGAGAGGCACTGGACTTGGAAATGCAGATAAGACAACTACAGGTAAGCACGCCGACGTAACTCGTGCACGAGCACAGCAATGTCTCCCATGGCATGCGAAATGTCAGAAGTACGCAAACAGTACTATTACCTATAAGTACTTCGGCCATATTTTTGGCATTCCGCAACAGTACATTTTCGTTTTGTTTTTGTTTCGAGTACGAAACACAAAACAAGTTCAGTTATCTGGGTATTAGTTTTGTTTCGTCTCGTACTTCGAGAAAATGCAAAACGAAATGTTGGCAAACGTAGTTCATGCCACATTCGAATCGCTTGCTGTGTGCGTGTGTGTGTGTATTAGCCTTTTCGAATTACCGCCCTATTAATGGCCTTTTATTTGTTGTCTGGTGTTTTTCCCTAAGGACGCCATTGATGTCTTAAATCGCCAACAAATGCGTGGAATTGAAGGACAACTGTTCAACAAAGTCAACGAGACTCAAGAGGACCTTTCAATGAGCAAATTTGATTTACGTGCCAAACAACTGCACCTCGCTGCCATCCGTGCCCAGGTAAGTGTTGTTGTCCTTGCAATTTGTGTCAGCTATGGGCATATGCCAGAAAAAATCTCATTGCCAGATGCCAAATGCTAATATATGTACATGTACGAACCATAAGCAAAGTCCAAACTCGGCGACTTCGCTCAGTCTATATGTGATGATTTTTCAAAATTTTGACCGTCTGTGGGGTCCGACACACCTCATCTTCATTCAGGATACAATATGAACAGAAATATTGAGCTGTCGGACTGTTTGTTGACAAAAGAAGTCTATTATGAGCGACAACTCCCACCACTTTTGTAACTTATTTCTAGAAGACGTTCGCTCGCTCGAATGAGTATCCCCTCAGAGCGAATTTGACATTTCTCTTGTTTGCAAGCTCTACAACTTGGGAAGCAAAGGAAAGAGGCACACATCAACTCAGGTGTATACATATCGCTCACGTAACGATTGTAGTTGTCAGTAAGGCATTACGGGGTCCTCAAGCCAAAAGCGCCGTAGCTAGTTCTATCGAACGAACCAGATCCTTACCTAGTTCTGTGGACTCCGGTCGTTTGTTTAAAAACACTACGTATGAGTAATATGATATTTATGAATACGTCACTCATACGTCATGGAACTGGTGTACTGAACTGTAGCTATGAACTGGATTGACACAACTCTAGCCGTAACGCTGTTACTCCTTCATGTATACCATACCAAAACCATAGACATAGATCAATGTATGGACTAAAATGTTTTAATGTTCACCCCTGTCGGCAGATGTGACAATATTGGATTACAGGTCTATTTTTTAAATCACTCGACTTCGGAAATAATTTTTGTTTGTTTGTTTGCTATTCGAGATGTATGTTTTAATATTTTACGCCTTAGCTGGATAAGGCTGTTTTCAGATTCAGAGGAACACATTCGGTATTTAGGGTATTGAGAGAATTTGAGTTGAGTTGACTTGAGCTCTCTCACTGCTTGAACGACATCTATTGACACGTTTTTATCGAAGATAACAGCCGAGAAAACTGTATGCCATAACATGACGACAAATACTTCCGCCGAAGAATATTTCAATCATTTTCACGAACCTCCATAGCTTTTCCATCAAAGCGCTGCGAATACTTTCGCTTTCTGTCCCACTTTCGAAGAGCTTTGGTAAACGCAACAGGTTCTTTAGCTTCCAGTTACAACAGCTGAGCTCTGAGCACTTAGCACTTAGCACTCCTTGGGCTGCCTCTTTCGCTGACCTAGTGAAACATATAAAAGCTTTCCACAAAACAGCTGTCCACTTGACAATTGGCCGTGTGCGCTTTGCGCATGTGACCACTTTATTCCGCTGTGGGTTGTGAAAACGTTTGTGGCAGACATGGCTGGCGTTTAGTTTTGAGCGGAGCGCGTAACCCAACGGTCGTTGAAACGTGAAGTGCGTGTATCGCAGCGTGTCCACTTTGCAAAAAGTCCATCAACAACACAGATCCACTGAATTGAAAGCAGAATTCATAGCTGTGTTGGTCGCCTCGATAAATGTGTGAAAATTATTAATTTAATAGCACGCCCCGCACAGCGTAGCACGAGTAAATCTGACTTGAAATTCGCAAAATTTGTTGTTTGACTCCTTAAAGAATTACACACATATCGACGCCAAGGTCTCTACCAAGTGCAAATGTTGGTCCCCGTTGGCACCACAGCTGGGTGACAGTTTTCGCAGTATCGCAGTATAACTTGCTATCGAATACAGCCAACAGCAACTATCGGAGATAATTGGCCAGGAAAAAGAAGGCAATAGTTTTTTTTCGGGACTTGCCTTCGAAAGAAAAAATCTATCACAACTAATTTTGTCGTCGGGAATACCTATAAAACAATACATTCCTTCGTACGAGTTGCCTTAAGCGCTGAGAGAGAGCAGATGAAGGCCAATCCACCACACACGACAGAGTCGGACGCTCTCTATCGCTTTCTTCTCTCGCTGGGCTTATAACAACGTCATCAACGCCACAGATTCGTGGAGAATAGACTCGCGTTTCCGCCGAATAAAAGTGTGATGCACGCCAGGGAAATAGAGTTAGTCACGTGTCACTTGAGTTGCGAATCTGTACTTATGCGCGCCTAAAAGTATACAAGGCGCTTGTAATAGCCGAACACCTACAACTCAACGCCATCGCGACCACAACCGTATCCACTGCCAAAATCGTTGTTACAACGGTTCCGTTATCTGTCGTTTGTCTGGCTGTGTTTTCCTCTCATTCATGCGAGGCGGCCATGTGTTGGTGACTGTGAGCCAAAGTGTAGTTGTATGTGTGTGTTCACGCGTTTAGTTGCAACTTCGAAGGCGCGCGCGAATTCCTGCTTTATCCGTGCTGTGCCAAGGATATATCTGGTCGTCCGTATGCCCCTGTAAGTTGGAGAAGGCATGAATGAATGATAAAGTCGACGGCGACTACGACTACGACAAAGACAACAAAAGGAACTGAGGCGGCGAGCCATCCGTGCTATCCATTGTTGTGGTCGCACGAAGAGGAAAACGCAGAAAGCGGAAGTCAGACCAACTATTGCTGTAAAGACAGCCGACGACGGTGATTCACCAGGAAACACATTGCCGCGCTCGTCCCCTCCTCCCCATCTCCCCAAAAGGCGGCTGCCTCAATTATGTCTTCAAGTGCTGCACAGTGCCTATCAAAATAAAACGCACAATTTTAATTCGAAACTCTAGTGACTGAATAAAGCTAAACCCAAATGCGTTCAAAGCCAACCAAGAATTATAAACCGGAACTCAGCTCGTAGGAATAGCGAACGAGAAGACGCGACTCTTTTATATGTGTTTTGATTTGAAACATATTCCTGTTGTTCTTGTTGTTGTTATTGTTAAATTGATTTTTGATTTTTCATAACAAATCACAAAATCAGCCAAAGACCGTTTATCCTTTTGCCCGTGTAAGTAACGTTTCGTTTTTTTACTCCCTCATCACTCCAACCTTCCTCTTGACTCTTTTGAACTCTGTCTTTTCTGTCAGTCTCATTTCCTAGATCTACATTTTCTTTTTCTTTCGATTTTTGCCTTTGTGTCGTTTAGTTTTCCGTTTTATTTGGTCGCATCACCCGCAATCACCCTACATCATTGTAAAGACACCGAAATAAATTACACCCTTAGCCAGTAGTGCAATTCATCCACCCAGTTAGAAGGAAAACACGTGGAGCGAGATTACTTTGTTCAAACAGTCGGACTGTGGAAATAGTTTGGCAGCTGAGATCTTTTAGCGGAGTACCGCTACGACTTTTGAAAGGATCACGTTGTAATTGTCCCTAACTGCAAAGCTCGGCAAGTCGGGTAATACATATATATCCACCGGATGACTTGTTGCAGAAAATCCGTAGTTTTGGGAGACATGCTGTAGGTTCTGGAACTCAAGCAATTCTAAAAGTATTTGCTCTTTTTCCCGAATTAACAATCAATTCCTGGAAAGTCCCCTTAAACCATCCTACATTCCAACAAATTCCGAACGAATTCGAAAAAGTCTTCTCGGAGATTATGGGAAAGCAAAAATATTAAATACAGCCCTGTATGGGTATGTTGTTCCGTTATAACCAGGACTAGGAGCCCAGTGGCAAATCTTTTAAACGCTCCCAGGGAACCGCCAAACTCACAGTCGCCAATGAAGTGATCAAAGTAATTTCCACATTGCAAATACACAACTTTAGTTCTCGTATCTATGCCACCGCTTAGCTTTGGAAGTCGTGATGCCAAAAAATAAAGCAACAAAAAAAACTTGCAAAACAAGCCCAACACCTGACATCTCCCTCTTAGCCTTTTGTATTCTTTAATTCATCTCTTATTGCCATTTTGCTTTTGTCTGTATCTTCTTTTTTGTTTTGATACATCCTGCTCGTACTGCTCGAAGCTTGTGTAAATAATACGAATCCAGAAAGTACGGAATATCAAAAAAAAGCAAAACGGAATCTCAAACATATGGATGTAGACTAGCCATCACCACCAACACCCACAATGAATGTTTCCGATGTATTTATCGCCTGCTAAATCTGTAATAAAACCAAGACATTTGGACAGTAATCCGAATAGGTGGCGCGGAACCGTACATTCCCGTTCATACCCCAAATACAATAACAAAAAAAAAAACCTTGGTAATTCTTAAATAGTAGAGCATTGCGTAGATCCAACCATACGAAACCCCATACTTACATACATACATACCTCCACTGCCGGAACTGAGAAGCGAAACAAACAAACCGTGCACGGAGCAAGCGAACGAACCTCAATGCACCTGGCGCACAATAACTTCAACTATTTCTAAGCGATCCCAGGAACATAAATCCACCACCCGAAGGAGGGACGGTTGATCCAGGCAGTTAACGAGGAAGAGGACAGGATACCAAATCAAACCGGAGCACAGAACACCGACAAGATATTGGGATTCGCAAAGGCAACCGTCGAAACAAAAGTCAAGTACAAGTTGTATCTAAACCGCTCAGAATATTGTGCCAGGCATTTGGCGGCATTGTTGCTTTCTGCTATCGTTGGTGTTGCTAGTGCTGTTCCATACGCGTCTGTGTCGATCGTGAGTCAAAATGCGTGTAATTGTGTTGAAAAAGAATCGGTCGAACAAACGCGGCACCCCGACGACCACGGCTCGTGACCTCCCACCGAAAAAGGCATTGGCAAAAGTAAGCTAACTGTGAATGTGATCCATCTTAACCAGAAACAACACACAATCCCACAGACTCTAATCCCAGACACCATGATCAGACTAACAAACCCAAGACCATCTTCAAATTATAAATCTGTGTGAGATGTTATTCGCCTTTTAAGTTACCGTTGGAGTTTGTGTTCCTTTTCCTTTTCTAAGTGTCTTGGCTTTTTGTTGCTTGTAAAAAGAGAGGGGACAACATGTATGTCTCTCTGCTCTGGATCCCATTTTTAGTTTTGCTTTGCCATTAGCATCAAACATTGAGAGAAAGTCTAGTAGTACTGCTGCCAGTTATGGGTGTGTCCGATACCTTTTCCCTTACATGGGCTGAGAGAGTTTTCTCCCACACGCACAAATATTGCAAACAGTTATCGACCAAGAAGACAGCTGTTTTGAAAAATGTCGGTGTTTTTTGTTTTTGAACAGTTGCAAA